TGTCACTATATGTATATACTGTAGCTCATGTCATTGTTCCTGGAATGTTGTACACAATAAAAGTCAGACTGATGTATAATTAACTGGCTTTGTTTGCCCTAAATGTTTATGGTTGAGTATTACATTGCAATTTTCCAATATCTTCTCTCTCTTAACTGTCTGATTATATATTTAATGGTTTATAAAGAATATCTCTTATTTCTTTGAATACAGCTGAAAAAAATAGCATTAGGATCAGACACTAAAGTCTAAATTATTTCTAGCCTATAGAGCATGCCCTGTTATACTCCTACTCTGTTGGGGCTCTGAGTAAGGCCCTTAACCCCAACTGCTCCATGGGTGCCATATAAATGACTGACGTTGTGCTCTGACCCCATACTTTTCTCCCACTCTGTGTGTCTCATGGAGAGCAAGTTGGGGTGTGCAAAAAGACAAATTCCTAATACAAGAAAGAGTATATGGCCAATAAAGTGATCTTATCTTACTTTTTGGAGTGTTGCTTCATCCTGATGTGTATTATATACTCCATCTGCAAATTAGTTTCACAAAAACGGCTTGTTTATCAAATTTCCATGATCTGTAAATATACTGATAAGACAAAGATCTTACACAATGTATCCTTCAACATTTTCCCTGCATTAGTACTAAACAACTATTTGAATTGGTTCCAGAAATAGGTACAGGGAATAATTAAACATTTTTCTCTCTGCCTGTCTTGATTTTTTTAAGCTTGTAGATCAATATTGTTTATCTTTCTATTTTTCTTTATCCTTAGTATTTTCCTTAGAGGGTTCTTTGAAGAGTTTCAGCCATGCCATTTGAGACTTTGCTTATTTTGTGGATGAATTTTCACTGTGCTTCAGACATTTTGAATCATACATTTTAAGTCAAACATCCATAATGTCTCCTAGAATAATAGTCTCCTTACTGCTACCAGCATCTTTTATTTTATTTTGTAATAAATTATGTCTGTAGCATTAATAAAACATTGATGACCTGTGTACTAATATGTACTGTAATAGCATGTGTATGTTCAGCCCTAAATGTCACACACATCTCACAAATGATGCTTTCGGTTAACTTCTGGCAAGTAGCACATCCATTTGTCATATTCGCAAGAACATTATTAACAATAGCAAGAAAGCTGTTGTTATGAGAGCAGAATGAAGATGTGAGCCATTGTGTTGGAATCTGTCACCTGTCCAATCAACTGCAGGGATGTCTAAGAACTTCATCAGTCTATGCATCATGTTAGGTTGACTGTGGTTTGAAGGAGAAGTCTCAGGACACAGGAAAATTTCAAATCAGTTTAAAAACTGCAGCTGTTGTAGAGGCAGCTTTACTGTTTTTTATCCACCAAGCTTCACTTTGAGAGATTACTAAGCAGTAAATAACTACTACTGAACCCTGATTGTTTTACAATGTAGTGGAGCTACCATAGTACAAAAGCTACAATATACATATGCTTGTTTACCTGAATTCCTGCTAATGCTTTATTTCATAAGATAGATAAGAGAATGTGACCCATATTTAATCATCTTCCAGCTTCTTTGCCATGACCACTGATCTTCTCCAGCTAATATTTTGAAACCCAGGAATACCTGCTCTTGCTATCCTACTGGGTCTCTTAGGACTTAGGTCTATTCTTTCTTTTTCAACTCATAGGTTTGTACCACTTTTTCAGTTTAGCCTTCTACCTCTGGCTCTAATGTCTTGCAGGGTTAGAAAATATGGGTTGAGAACATTCTATAAAGACATATGCAGTATATAGAGTTTGTTCAGCCTCTAAAATACCAATTCAACAGTGTGTTGCTGTCTTGATTTTCAACAGTCTTGGAATTCAGCAAGTTTTAAATCACCCTATCATCTGTGCACAGCCAACTCTATCATTAATGACGTGATTTAATGCTTATGTACCAGTCAAAGTATGTATAATTCCAGGAATTCTGTAGTTATCAGAATGATGCCAAAAAAATGTTAAATAATTGTATAATTTATTTTTCTAAAATATACTGTACGTGCACAATTAAAATTATTTTTTATATATTTATACTGGGTGTAGTAAGCAATTAAGGATCAGAATACATCAGATGGTGTTTACACTCTATTCTGTTTCTGTCTATATTTTGGACATAAACAATTTATTTTCCTAAATCTACATACTACCTGTGATTTTGTCTTTGGTTCTAATTAATAATTACTGGATGTGCTGGTAAGCACAGAGAATTAAGAAAGAAGAAATGGTTTTGTCATTATTTAGTGCTAAATGTGAAGTGTTTTGTTCTTGAAATATAACATTTATGAGGTCTTCACTTATTTAACAAAAAAACATCTATGCAAATATTGAAGCAGTCGTTTTCAAAGTGTCTTGTTTTTTTAGAGTTGCTGTTTTGTGCTTTTTTGGCAGTTTCTTTCAAATAAGCAAATGTATTTCCTCATGTTACCAATCACAGAAGGAGATCAGTATATATGGGTTTTTTTCCCCCAATTTAAGCTTTTGATTAAAGAACTGCAGCTCTAGGACTCTTTCTTTCTTAAAGCTTAAAAAACTTAAGCTTTTTGTGTGACTTCATACAGAGCACAGTAACAGCAGATGCCATTAAGACGCAGTTGGGTGCTACATTTGATTTGACTTAAGACTAGTAATTGTGTAGGACCGTACAAGGAGATTTTAAGTATTTCTTT